CCCAGCAAGAGCCTCACCTTTGGATTTCTTGAGCCAGAGTGGCTTTCAGTGTAGCATGTCCCCTGAGCTCCCAGGGTGGTCTCACTGAAGCCTTTCTCACTAGGCTTGGCATTCTCTTGACAACATCCATCTCCTTCAGCTTCTCTAATATTCTCTTTCTTTTTTTTTAAAAATATATTTTATTGATTTTTTACAGAAGACGGGAGAGAGGAAGGGAGGGGGACAGAGAGCCAGGAACATCGATGAGAGAGAAACACTGATCAGCCGCCTCCTGCACACTCCCCACTGGGCACCTGCCCCCAACCAAGGTACATGCCCTTGACCCGGATCAAACCTGGGACCCTTCAGTCCGCAGGCCGACGCTCTATCCACTGAGCCAAACCGCCGGCTAGGGCTCATAAGTTTTTAAAACCCGAGAGGTTTGAAGGGAAACGACTTTCCTCTAAGCGAGAGAAAGTAAAAATGCCTTTAAAAATAATGTCTGCGTGGGATTCTCAGGAAGCAGCCAGCCTTTCTAAGCAAACTTTTTAAAAAGGTCCCAGGGGCCAAGCCCACTCCTCTGCAGTCCTCTTCCTTGGGGGGGGGTTCCTTTTTTTTTGGGGTCTTGGGAGGGGGGGAAGGAAGTGATTTGTAATGAGTGATGTCAGCCACTTGGTGGTATGATATATTTCTTAACTTCCAGAGGTTGAGATGGAATGGGAAAGGCCCGAGTTCGAGTTCGCATTAAATCATGACCTTTGTGGGGGGGGCGGGGGTTGCACATTAAGTCCCACCCACTCGACCTCCTAAGGGTCAGTGAGGGATGTTCAGGTTGGAAGAGGCTGCTGGGAAGTAGGTCCCCACATTTCCTGGAACAAAGACAACCATCTCGTGGTTCTGCCCGGATTCCACCACTATTTCATGTCGCTTGTTCTGCGTTTTCTTACTCCTGGCTTTTCCTTTATTCTTCTCACAATATTTGAGTGCTTACTATGTGTCAGGCACTAAGGGACCTCTCACTATGGTTCGCTCCTGCTGCACACGCCCTTTTGTCACATCTCCCTCAGGTGGCCTCTTCGGCCAGGTGAGCCCTGCTCTCCGTATACCTTCCTGACCTCCAGTGACAGTTTTCACCTGTAGGCAGGTCACTCGCAGCCCAAATTGCAGTCATCCAGTCACCCATTTGCTAACTTGCTAACTCCCCATGGGTGCTTCCTTCAGAGCTTTAGAGAGGCAGGGAGATGGAAACATCAATGATGAAAGAGAATCATCAATCCACCTGGGTGCTTTTTGGGTTTGTTTTTTATATTTTTATTGGTTTTAGAAAGGAAGAAGAAGAGGGAGAGAGAGAGAGAAATGTCAATGATGAGAGAGAATCATTGATTGCCTGTTTGCAACCGGGGCATGTGCCCTTGACTTGGAATTGAACCGTGACCTCCTGGATTATAAGTCAACGCTCAACCACTGAGGCACCAGCTGGGTGTTTTGACAGCACCTGAGGCGGGCTGCAAGGCCAGCGGCCTTTCCACCTCCCCGCCCTGGGCCCTGCCCTCTGCCCCGTCCTCTGGTAGGTCCTGACGGTTTCCTGCTCACAAGGCCTCCACTCCTTCCCACCTCTAGCGTCTAACCGGGTCTCACCTCTATTGTTACCACACAGACTTCTCCGCCAGATCACACGGCCTGAAGCCGGAAGCCAGCCCACCTTTCTCCTCGTGTTTCCCATGACGCATCTTCATGTGTACTTGTCCCTCCCGCCATTGTTCACCTTCCACAGCCCCACTCTCTCGCCCCCTAACTTTGCTCATGCCCCATCCTCAGCCTGCAATGCTCCCTCCCCAGCTCCCAGCTCCTCACTCCCAATGTTCAGCTGAAACCCATGCTTAAACCACTCTGAAACGCTCTTAAAACCTTAACAATTTTCTAACCTGAGGTAAGTATGAGAACTGGGGTAAGAAAAAAAAGTTAAATCAGTGTATCTCAGTCATTGATGGCAGAAGAGAGAAGTCTTCCCCATTCCAGCAGTGGAATGGGGAGGGAGGTGGGTGGGAAAGGTGGGGTTTGTGCATAGCTCCAAGTTGCCCTCATTAAGCACAATGTTTCTTTGGCGTTTCATGTTTGATCTTTTGTATTATTTACTAGTTAAATTGTCCCTCAAAACTTTCAAGTGAAGCTGTCACTCCAATTAATAACTTGTTGTTTTCCTCAGCCCACCAATGTGTGCGTCCCTGAGGCACCAGTCAGGGAAGTATGGACTTAGCATGTCGACCTGAGCAACTCACCCTTTTGAACCTATTTCCCATTCTGTAAAATGGGATGGTGGTCCTTACTGGTTGTTCTTATGAGGATTAAATGAGGGTCAATTATAAGCCACACATCCTATATAATAAAAGCCTAATATGCAGATTGACCGAATGGCAGAACAACTGGTTGCTATGACGTGCACTGACCACCAGGGGGCAGACACTCAACGCAAGAGCTGCCCCCTGGTGGTCAGTGTGCTCCCACAGGGGGAGTGCTGCTCAGCCAAAAGCTAGGCTCATGGCTGGTGAGTGCAGCCGCGGTGGCGGGAGCCTCTCCCGCCTCCATGGCAGTGCTAAGGAGCAGCTAGCCATGCGGTAAGGAGCAGCAAGCAGGCAGGTGGTAAGGAGTGAGGGGTCCCGGACTGTGAGAAGGCACAGGCCAGGCTGAGGGACGCCCCGCCCCCGCCGCCGAATGCACAGATTTTGTGCACTGGGCCTCTAGTTGATAAATAATAGGAGTGTGGTCATTGTATGTTTTATCTCCTCTACCGCAGTGTCCTGGCCAGCGGTCATTGCACACTGGTGTATTGCAGTTGGGTCACAGGTGGAACACAACATAAAGATCCCATAGCCTTTGGGGCACCAGCTAGGCCAGTCACTTCTGGGCAGTCCAAGAAGAGGCTGGTCCAATCAGAGTCAGACATCCTGCCCCGTGTCCCCACCTGGACACTCACCTCAGAGGCCAGCTGCAGAGTGCACTGCAGCGCATCACGGACAAGGGCCCGGGGCCCGCTAGAGAAGCTGGGTCCCAGGGACCCAGAGAGGAAGAGCAACAACTCAAGGTGCAGGAGGGAAGGGGCTGGGAGACTGGTTGGGGGTCTGGCCAGAGCAGCCCCGGAAGGCTGACCCAGATCTGTCTTCACATCGTATCAGACACTTCCATCCATTTTCAGCTGGTGTCCAAGCTAACTTCAGGGAGGCTGCTGCAATAATGCTTCTGGGCAGGATGAGAATAAAACTAGTTAACATCTGAGATGGCGCAGACATTGACCAATCAGAACAGAGTCCAGCCAGCCATAAACAGTGCATAGCAGTACATACCAAGAGGATATCAACCGTGAAGGAACATGCTTTAAATCAGAGCTCTGTCATTACTTTAAAGTGCTTTGACATGAGTTTGATTGAATTTAAAATCCATTCATGTTATCAAAAGAAATTTCCATTGCATAGTGGTTAATGAAAGACAAATAAGGCATTTTTAAAAATATTTTAGCTTTTGTAAATGTTTTCATTAAATATATTTTTATTGATTTCAGAGAGGAAGAGAGAGGGAGAGGGAGATAGAAACATCAATGATGAGAGAAAATCATTGATCGGCTGCCCCCTGCATGCTCCCCGGGGATCAAGCCCACAACCTGGGCATATGCCTGACCTGCGATTGAACCATGACCTCCTAGTTCATAGGTCGATGCTCAACCACTGAGCCACACAGGCTGGGCTAAGCTCAATATTTAATGCTGTCTCTAATGCTTTCATTTTATGTTTCAAATCATAATTAACCAATATGTAGAAAGTGTAATTAATTTTGTTTTACCAAAACAAATTCAGCCAAAACCGGTTTGGCTCAGTGGATAGAGCGTCGGCCTGCGGACTGAAAGGTCCCAGGTTCGATTCCGGTCAAGGGCATGTACCTGGGTTGTGGGCACATCCCCAGTGGGAGATGTGCAGGAGGCAGCTGATCGATGTTTCTCTCTCGTCGATGTTTCTAACTCTCTGTCCCTCTCCCTTCCTCTCTATAAAAAAAATCAATAAAATATATATTTAAAAAAAAACAAAAAACAAATTCAAATGCCCTCAAACCTACTCCCCACTCTTTGTCCCCAGTTTACCTCAGGGGGACATACAAATTGTATCATTTTCTCTGTGTACCAAGACAGAATAACAGTTCCAGAGCACCATTCTAGTAAACTGTAAGTTCCAGTACCTGCTTCATCCTTTAAGCCAGCCTCTTAGGCGCGACGTCTTGTAAAAACACAAGTAATAGCCCTTGGCTCAGTGTATAGAGCGTCGACCTGTGGACTGAAGGGTCCCAGTTTCGATTCCGGTCGAGGTTTACATGCCCAGGTTGCAGGCTCGATACCCAGTTGGGGGCATGCAGGAGACAGCCGATCAATGATTCTCTCCCTTTCATTGATGTTTTCTATCTTTCTCTCCCTCTCCCTTCCCCTCTGAAAACAATAAAAATATTTTTTAAAAAATAAATAAATAAAACACAAGTAATAAAATAAATGTTTGATGAGCAAGTGAATGATTGAACAGATCTGCTGGAGGCTGTGGAGAACAGCTCTGGGGAGATCACTATTTCAGCCAAAACACTGTGACCGCCAAAGTATGAGGCAATCACCGTGTACATCTGAGCTGTCTGCCTGGATTCCCTCTGGCCTAGTGCATGATGCAAGGGCTGCGCAGGAGTCAGCACTTGGAGCGTGCCTGTGCTTGCACGAGCTCAGGAATGGTCTTGTTCCACTCCAACCGCCCCAAGACACCT